GTGAGGGGACTGGGAGTGAGTGCTCTGACTCCCGAGGGGGGTCCGGGGAGAGCAGTGTGCTCCGGACCCCTCTTGTCCGGTTCGGATGCCAGAAAGAGGGGCGGCGCCTGGGACCCCCACCAGGCTGCGGGATCCCGCTGGAGAGAGTGGAGGGGAAAGAGGGAGGGAGGGGTGTCGGGCTGACTCCCCACCCGCTGCTTCCTCCGCCGCCGGCATTTTCTTTCTTATTATTGAATTCGAAGTGTAAAAATAACTTCTATATTTTCTATTTTTTTTTCTCTCTTATTCCAGGAAGAGCAACCGAGGTTTCAATCTGCGGTACGTCTCCTACTCTCCATTTCATTTTCATTTCCGTTCAGTTTTGGTCCTTTTTGGAGTCAGAGAGAAAAAGTGATCGTTCTTTATTTTTTAATATTCTTGTAAACTCTCCTCTTAACCGCTAAGGTGAGGTGGAGTCAGCTGGGGTTGGAGGTGGGGGGGTGGGGGACTGCAAATCCTATGATTCTGGCTTCTCAGGTGGTAGATCCTAGTGAGTAGGTAGGTGAGTGAGAGAGCGAGCCCCGTGCTAAAACTGAGTTGTTCTGGAGTGTTCAGTTAAGGATGCAGCCCAGGCACGTGAGAAGTGAAGGGTAGTGTTATTTCAGAGCAGACTTACAGGTCAGGTTTACTTAGGAGCAAGTAAGCTTTAAGCACTATCTGCACAGTTGTGTGAAGCTGCAAGCACAGTAATAATCGCCTTTAGCCAAAGTCACATGACTGCCACCACAGACTCTTAAAACTAGAAAAGCATGCTATTCTCAACAATAGCAACAACAACAAAATAGAAACAGGGAGGAGCCAGAAGTTAAATCTTGAAAGTGTCACAGCTTCTTGTGGTCTGACTTTCCATTTGAGAAGAAAAAAAAAAAAAAGGTTGAAAAGTGGCATTGTAGGAGACAGCTACGCTAAAAGGTGTCCGGATGAGTCCATACAGTGTTACCAGTAACTTCTTAGGGTTTTGATGTTAAAGCTTTTTGTAGGTGTCTCTCTGGTGGATTTGGGTTGACACCATGAGCTCTTGTCTTTAGAGTCTGAGACTTAGTAGTAAATGGGTATAGATTAGGGAGAGGGAAGAAGACTGAGAATACATCCAGATCAGAAGAGAGACGACAAGTGTTATATTTGATAGTTGGCAATGGTGAGAAGGGTGTACAGGGAGGGCCATAATGCCTTTGCCTGTGGGGATTAGGTAATGAGGTAGTCAAGGATAGAGGGAGAGGTAAGGACTGGGATACTGAGGAATGCATGCCCCTTGTAGAAAGTCCGAAGCCACCTAGCTCTGGTGCTTGCTGTATGAGAGTGAGCTCAGTGTTGCTAGGTCTTATTGTTATTTCAGGGCTGGGGTTAGACCCTTTACCACTGAGCCACACTCCCTCGATTTTCCTACTTTAAGAGAAATGTTAAAATGCTAGAAACAGATTATTTTTTTTCCAGTGTATTTGCGTGTAGTTTTTGGCTATTCTGGGACTTGAACCCAGGGCCCTCGGCATGCCCGGGGCCTGGCTATAACCTCAGCCTACTCAATTGATTTTTTAAGGTTACATTCACTTATTTAATGTGTGTTTGTGATTGTGTGCATGCCACAACTTGAGGGAGTGGGGTTTCTCCTTCCAGCATGTGGGTCTGGGGTTGAACTTAGGATCATCAGGTTTGGCCTCAACAACTTTACCCACGAAGCTATTTGATTTTTAAATGATATGTGGAACAGCTGTTTGGGGGCTTATAGAGAATTAGCTGGATGCAACTAGGCTTGGTTGCCCAGTCCCGTGAACGCCCTTACTCGGGATGCCGAGGTAGGAAGATCAGAAGTTCAGGTCTGTTTTCAGCAATTTATTGAGGCCCAGCCTTAACATACCAAAAAAAAAAAAAAAAAAGAGTCCACGGTGTTATCCAGTTCTGTAGGCCCAGTGCTTAGGAGGCTTTGGCAGAGGGTTGCCCTGGTTTAGAGGCTGGCCTGAGCTACAGAATGAGATTCTGTCTCAAACAAACAAGAGCTCTCTACCTTTGTCTCTCTCTCGCTTGGGAATTTAGCTCCTTAGGACACTTAACTTTCAGTAGGCCCTGGTTCATCCCTAGCACTGAAGTTTGCAGGGTGCCACTTTGATAGCTCTGCTGCAGGACTTTAGTAATCACAGGGTAAAAACAGGTTCTTCAGTTGTGCCTGCTCTCCATTAGAGCCTCAGAGATTGCACAGATTGCCTGAGCATTAAGAAAAACTTTATTAAGAACCAGTTGATTCTGAGTGCAGTTATCACAGAGGTCTTCAGGATTGTTCTGAGAGAGATCCTCACTGATAATAATGTTTTATTTCTTTATGAAGTGTTACACATCTATTAAAAGTCAAATTCCTTTTTGGTTTTGTTTTTCAGCTACAATTATCGCTCTTTTTGTTTTTTTTTTTTTTTGAGAGAGAGTCTATTTCAGTATTTAGTTCAGGATGGCCTTGAACTCATAGAGATCCACCTACCTCAGCTTCCAAAGGGCTGGGATTAAATGTGTGCACCACCATGCCTGGGTACTGTGTATAGTATGAACTTGGTGGTTTTTATTTGAACCTGTTCTACCAAAACAGAAACAAACAAACAAACAAAAAAGCAATTTCTTTTCCTCCTCCAAGTCTCCAGGTATAAGATCTGCTCCAGGGCTTGATGGAGTTAGAGAGCAAGAATTGGTAAGGCTTGTTTTGAAGGCTCATCCTTGAGTTGGAATTCTATTTGCTTTTCAGTGAGAAATAAGTTTTCTTATTTTATGATAAGGAGTTGCTTTAGGTCTTCCTCTATTTAAAGTGTCCACTGGGGTGGTGATGTACATTAATTTACTAAATGCTTCCATTCCTGGGAGACTTGATTTTGCTTTGTCTAGATGTTTTTACTTTTTCTTTTTTGTTAAGGTGCTTAGAATTTTTTCCTTTCATTTTGGGACATAGACAGTGAATTTTTTGTTGTTGCAGGGGATTGAACCAAGGACTTTGAGACCCTTTGTTTTAATTCCATATACTTGTTGAGATTTACCTGGTACAAGTTTATCATGATGGCATAAATAGAAAAAGCAGGTATACAGGTATATACAGACACAGTGTATTGAATTGAACATCTGTCATGAATGGGGTGGAAACATGGATCCCTCCCTGTCCCTGTGAATATATCTATTTGAAATTTTGTTTGAATGATAAATATTTTTTTTAAATGGGGAACACTATTAAGTTTTGTCTTTGGAAAAACATTTTTTAAAAAAAGATGTGGACTCTGAACATCTGTTTAGGCCTGCAGAAGAACTTTTAAAAAGTTATTTGGAACTCAGTTCGCACTTGTGATCAATCCCAGCACTCGGGATGTTAAGACAGGAGGTTGGCCATGAGTTTGAGCTGAGTTACAGAGTGAGCCCCCCCCCCTCCGACACACACACACACACACACACACACACACTAAAAAAAGTTATTTGGAAAATGTCCTCTGGGTCCTCGCATGAAAAGATGATCATATTTTGTAATATCATTACAGTTATCTAAAGCCTTAAGAAAAGCTCTGGCCATTCAGCTTAGTATTAGGAAGAAAGCTAACAGAAAGTGAAACTGATTTGACGGGTGCCCTACACACGGAAGCAGCCTCCCTCCTGAACAGTGAGCTCTTAGAGGAAGTAACCCTAAACACTAACTAACTACTGAATTTGGTAATTGCAGAATCCTGCTGGTTGGTGTTAATTTTTTTAAGGGAATAAGTTGTATTTTAAAGATAAGTTTCTGAGGTGGTTATTTTATGCAAGGGGTTACTTTTGCTTTATTTCTGTTTGGGAAATTTCTCTGAGAAAGAGTGAAAGTATATGTGAAATGTAGGATCACTGAATTGGTCAAGAAACCTGAGGCCTTTCTCCATATATTGTCTTCACATCTGATGAACTCAACTCGTTGCAGTTACAATAAATACTCGCTGGCTAGTATTGTAGCCGGTTTAAAATAGGTTTGTGCTTTCCCAGTCTAGACCTCTCTGGTTTAAAGTATTTTTAACTTGTCAGCTCCTCAAGTCTTTGGAGATGGAAGTACTTGGGAGGAAGGAAACTGCCCACTCTGGAGGCTGGAGTTGAGGGAACTTGAATGTCTTACCTGGGATCAGCTGCACGGTAGGAGTGCTAAAAGGTGCATATTTGTTTCTGCTCAGAGTGTTGGCTCTGATGACGGAAGCAGTGGGCTTCCTTCCTGTGTGTGCCTGGAGATGGAAAAGGTGCTGTTGAGCTTTTAAGAGTGATGTTGCTTTATCAAGAGGCTGAGAGAATAGAAGAGCTGATCAAAGAATCCTATTTGACTTTCATTTGCAGGCAGGGGGCTTATGATGGAGTTTGCTGTGTAGCTTGGCCTCCAACTTGCAGTGATTCTCCTGCCTCAGCCTCTAAAGTTTGGGGACTAGAGGTGTGCTCTCAAGCCCAACTTCAGTTTGATCTTCAGTTAAAATGTCCTACAAAGAAATCCTTCTTCTCAAATGGCTAGTGTAATGGCACGTGTGGGTTGTGTTCCCAAGTTCTTTTAGGCACCAAAAGATGGAGGTGCCTCAAAAACAAGTATATTTATTTAGATCACAGAAAAGTATATTGGCCGTGGGCTTCAAACGGAAGAGTTTGGAAAGAAACTGCAGGAACTGTCTGCTTGCTAGAGACTTAGTGGGTTTGTCTCATCTCACTTGCCAGTTGTTTTGTGTTGCAATTTTTGTGTTGATTAAAATGAGCACTTTTAACTTATTTAGAAATTGTTTTATTTGATCTTACTCTTATCAGCCAGATGTAATAAATATACTGTATGAGAATTTGGAACCTTTGTATTTGTCAGTATTTTTAGTGTTCAGTAAGACTAGCTTGATAATCATGAGTGACTCCTTCTAAAGTATAACCTTTACATTTCTTAAACTTAATACATCTAACATCCTCTATCTAAGGATAACACAGATTACCTCTGCATGGAGGGTTTTCTGCACTGGCATTGAGGAGGTTCCCTCTGTGTGTAAGTCAGGTAGATATCAAGCAGCTTGGAAGAAATGCCATTCTGGGGAACTTTGTACATCCTTTTACAGTAAGACACTTCCTCCTCCTCCATGCTAGGTCCTGCAGGAGAGTAGGTTGTTGACTAGTGAGGTGCTGTGAATAAAGATGCATTCTCTTGCAATAAGTTGAAAGGAAATACTCTTGGGACAGTTCCTCAATTCTGAACAGGTCTCCTTAGCTTCTGTGTCCTCCTGCCAGTTTAGTGACTAAGAAAATGATTGCTATTGACATTGAGCAGCACTCAGTTAGTGTACTTGTTAGTGTGAGAGGTGGACAAATCATAGGTAAAGATTTTGTTTCTTCTGTCTGCCAGTGTGGAATAGTTTGGTTGAACTAAAACTGAGACTGAGTAAAAACCGTGGCATAGACCTCAAAGCCAGAAGCAATTTGGTGCCGTAGTTCCTGGTGAGCGTCTGTGGACCTCTCTCTGGTATCACAAAGACCCTAGTACTTTGATTAGTCTGGGGCATGCCGATAAAAGGCTTTCTGACAGAAACTGCAACTCTTATGTTGAAGAGCAAGCGATGTGCAGCCACCAGCCACTGCTCCTAGAATGTGTATGGGGGAGTCATTTAGTAACCTGTGGCATAGCCCAAGAAGACCTCTGATTATTCCACAAGGGTACCGCTGTTTCCAGTGTTTGCATGACCAGACAGTACAGGGGAGGGAGGGAGGAAGGGAGGGAGGGAGAGAGAGAGAGAGAGAGAGAGAGAGAGAGAGAGAGAGAGAGAGAGAGAGAGCACTAACACTCATCTGAGTTGTTTGTTCCACTACTGTAATTGCTGCACTGCTGTAAAGAGTTCACGGGAGGATCTCTAGCACCTTACGCTGAGAGTCTTCACCTGGTTTTTCTTTCTCAACTCTGAAATCTTGGCCTTTTGGGAATGAGCTTGTCAACAAGAGAACTTGGCTAACAAGGCAATCTTTTAGTCAGCCACTGGCCCAGCATGCAGGGCTGGGGGTACCATCCTCGCATGCAGCTTAGAAATACTTTCCAGAGAGAACTCTCAGCCTTGTGTGAAGGTGTGTCAAGTTTTCCTATGCTCTGTAAGCACTAGAAATGCCACTTCATTCAGAGTTGCCTGGAATTAGGCATGTGAGTTCCGCATGTTTTTCACGTGTGCTTGCAAATGAGGCTTGGGGACAAGGAAAAACAAATAGATCCTTGTGGCTGTCTCTGTTCAGGCATAACAGCTGAGGGATAGACATGCAGGAGGGATTGCTCTAAGATTCCACCGTTCTGCTAGTTAAATTGGGTCTGGAACCACCACAGAAATTCCATCCACTGCTTGGAGAACAACAGTCCCCAGCCCAGGCTTTCTACCAGGCAGTGGCCTGCTGCCTTTCCTAGCTGAGCCAACTTCTAACTTGGCTGACTCCCCAGATGAGAAGCCGAGATTTCTGCTCGTGGTCTATGGCCAAGTTCACTACAGTCCTCCAACCAAAAGACTGTTGTCCGTCTGAGTCCTTTCAGTGCTCAGCAGATGGGAGGGGTGGTACATCTTGGGGATGACAGCGGTGTTAGGTTCAACTTAGCTCCTTGCTTACAGCACAGGCCCTCAGAAAACCAAGTCCATCTTAGTTCTAACTGCCTGAGATTTTCAGGGTTCTCCCAGAAAGAAAACAGACAATTAGGATTTTTATTTGTATCAGCAAGAGGCATTGTGGGTAGCTGGTATCACTGCTTCTGTGCACAGCTCTTAAGCTGGGAGGAAGGCCAGGAGTCAGGGTGATTTAGTAGACAGAGTATCTTAGGCTGCTGCTGAAGACCAAAGCTGAGCAATTGGTTTGCATGTAAATAGACCATCTTGAAAATTACAGAGTAAACACCAGAGGCCTAGTGCATGCCAAATGTTGTCCTAGATCTCTTCTGTCCTCGAGTATTGTGACAGGCGGGTTTACCTGGGCATTGACATGTAGTTCCTTCAAGCTAACTTAATTTACACTGCTCTGAGAGGGCAGCTGTGGTTATCTTGCTTGCCCTAGTATTTTATAATACAGTGATAACACCTCTACCCTCAAGTTACCTGGTTTCCCAAGCTTAATTGTCCTTTCGGATTCCTCATTCTATTTTCTATATGACTAGTTAAGAAAATCCTTTGCTTTACAGTGAACTGAGGTTTAAGACAGGATAATTTAGGAATCCTCCCAGCTTGTGCCCCATCTTCAAGATGGTGACTGTGATGGGAACGTGTGCCCATTTAACAGAACTGTAGGTGAGGCTTCTGAGAAATCAGAAGGGAAACAGTCTACAGGGTCTCCAGGCTCTTCCCCTGGGGGGAGTCAGAGACTTTTAGGTTTTAGAATTTGATAGTAGAAGAATTTTTAATCCTTTTCTTCTCATTGCTCTTGTCTGATTTCTGTCTGCCCATCTTTTCTAGTACAAGGATTCAGTGGAAATGGCATTGTCAAACCAAGTTTATGCTTGTTGTTGCATTTCCAAAATTCCTGGTACTCTGTCTGGGCTTACTAGCCAGGTCACTTTCTAATGTGCAGACAGGCTCTTTAGGCTAGCTCAGCACAGCCTGCTCTAGTCTGGGGAAATGCTCAAGAGTATTTCTGTAATTCCTGAAGTAGAGGTGTGGTGAAGTTCTTGCTCAAGTAGTCCTTGTGTTCTGTGTAGAGGGAGATGAAGCTCCTTGGCAGTGCTCCCCAGCATGGTGCTCTGCTGCCTTCCCCTTCCTGATTGTTTGGCAGTCCTGAGCCTCACCAGCAGACTGTTTATAATTCCAAGCAGGAAAGGTTAAAGGCTGCTTAGGGTATTTAGAAAAGTGCCAAATGGGCCAGACCTGCTGCATGTGCATGAGGAAATTTACCAAGAGCATGTATGTGTCAGAAGGTCTGCTACCCAAAAAGTGCCTCTCTGGCTCAGCCTTGTGAGAGGAAACCCAAGTGCAGTTGGCACATCTGTCAGCTATGTCATAATAACCTCAAATGCAACTGGGCTTTCCAGAGGTTTGGAGCTCTCTTGTATGACCTGATGAGAGGGTATGTTGGTGACCTGTAGCAGAGCCTTGGATGGTAGGTTTCATGTGGACAGAAGTACACCCCCGCCCCCCAGTCTCATGGTAGAGTAACCATATCTTAGGAAGGAGCCCACTGGAGCTTTCTTTAGTTACATTGCAACCACAGACTGGCAACTGCTCCATCACGTAGGTTGGGGACACTTGCAGGAGAGTCACACTTTGTCTCCTTGAATAACTTCGGTTTTACTTGTGCATGAGCTGGATCCACCGTGCTACTTTGGATGTTCCTGTTGCAAGCCTTACTCACCCCTTTCTCCCTCTTTAACAGAGCCTAATTCTGGAGACTCCTAACTGTCCATCTCACTCTGCAAATTTTCTCAGTCCACTTGCCAGGGACAGCGCTGACTGCACACACTTCCAGGCTTTACCACATCCACCTGGACAAGGAGTGGCATTCCTAACATGCTCTGTCTTCATTTCTCCTAGGCTGACAAACGGGCTCATCATAATGCACTGGAACGAAAACGCAGGGACCACATCAAAGACAGCTTTCACAGTTTGCGGGACTCGGTCCCGTCACTCCAAGGAGAAAAGGTGAGTTTATTGACAAATCAGTTGGCCCACCAGTAGCTTGGAACAGGACAGCCCTCCCTTCTGTGAAGAAAGGCAATCAGGTGGCACGGTCTCCTGTTTTTATTATTTATTTCATTTTATGTTTTTGATTCTCTGGAAGATTCTCACATATCTCAGTTGTTCTTGATTATCTTTAGCAAAAACAACATCATTTGTAATAGAGGTGTTTGTGAGACATCCCTAAAAAGTGGCCTTGCAAAATTGGAGATACGTGTCATTAATTACTTGTTTCTTTGGTGGTGCTGGGGATTGAACCCAGGACCTTGTCATGCTAGGCAGATAAATTAGTCATTCATGACATTATCATAACTATATACCTATGTACTGTAGTGTATAACTTGGTCCATAATTAGTTTGTGATCACTAAAGATTTCCGGGCCAGTGATCCCCTAAACCTCTGTGGGAATCGGTCTTGTTCAGTTCAGCATTAGTACTTAGTGTAAATGAACACTTGCAGGCAGGGCTGTGAACCTGCCTGGGCACCAGTGATTTCCAACCCTGACAGCCACTCTTCCCAAGATGTGTAAAAAGCATTGTAACCCATGGAACAAGAGTTAAGAGACTTGTTCATATGAAAGAGAATTAAAAGGAAACCATTCCCATTCTCCCTAGAGGCCTTTAGAAACTGCTCTTTTCCCTGGAGAGGCAGGAGCCAGCTGTTTCTGTCTTCAAAAAACAAAAGCTTTGAGCAAAAGCCTATGGGTTAGGTCACTCCTTGGAAGATAGAGAAAAAATTTGTTTGCACAATTAGTTCCACCCTTGACGCTATGTAACAGGCTTCTTTCTTCAGCCCTTCCATAGAATAAATGGTAAACTGGGGAGGATACTTGTATTATTTTTGAGGGTTATTGATGTAATGTTAAGTGAGGGAAGAACTCAGCAGTGGAATGGCCTACTATTGTGTGTGGGTCCTGAGGGTAATCCCCAATACTGAAAAAAAGAAACACAATTTTTTATTTATTTTGAGACAAGGTCTCACATAGCATAGGCAGCCTGGAACTGGCTATGTAGCTAATGATGTCCTTGAACTTATGATGCTCCTTGCATCCATCTCCCAAGTGCTAGGTTTATAAGTGTCTACAGATATACTTCTTTGGCTTGTTTGTTTGAAAGAGTCTCACTGTACAGCCAGACTGTCTTGAACTAATGATTCAGCCTTTCATGCCTGTTGGAATTACAGGCATGTGCTATTACACCTGGCTTAAGAGACACTTTTTTTTTTTTTTCTTTTTTCTTCACATCTCCAACAGATTTATTTTAAAGGAATGGCCTAAGGGAGAAAAAAACGGGGTACAGAAGTATGGACTAGAAAATAAATACGAATGTTTAAGAGACACTTTTAATAAAAGTAGTCTTTACTCTTAGATGTACGTTAAGTGGCTTTACTGCTTTAGTTCTGTGGTAGGGGTCCTAAATTTGTTTGGTTATCCAAGATTAAGTTTTTCATGTTTAAAAAACGTTGAAAAGCTGTGGTTTCTCTTCTGTCTATGATGTGGCCTTCTGTGTGGTTGAAATATGGAGTAAGTTTAAGCTTAAGGGAAAACTCAAATAGGCCATGTGAATACAGTATTACAAAATCAGAATTTGCTGTGGGTTAAGCCCACTTAGTATGTATTTGATTTAATGGCCTTGAACCAAGGTACTTACCGGAATAACAACATTCCTGAGTCTAACACTGAGCAAGTACCACAGGAAATCTCTGACTATAGAGACGCGCCCTTTGTGCAAAAGATTATCTCTCATTCATGTCCGACCTGTTGGTGCTCATTCTGTATACCACGGGGTCCATTAGCAGCATTTCAGTGAGCTACATGGACAAGAGCTGCCTTGATCTCAGCCTCACATGTAATAAGATACTGAGGATGTTCTTTTCAAGGGGTGGGCCATGAACCACCTACATCCAAACACCAGATGAACTTCCTGGAGGTGAGCCTGCGAAAACACACTCATAACAAGCCATCAGATGTTTCTGAGGCACACTCAAAGAGTAGGTCACAAGCCATAGCTATCTCTTCCTTTATTCATCCTGTCTCACCTCAAATAGTACATTCTTCCTTAGGTCCTTATAATTTTATTATACTAAATCCTGTCGCCTCCTTTCTCAAGGAAGTTGAAGGTTTGAATTTGGTAGCTTATAAATGGAATAGTTTGTCATTTGTGGCCCTTTCACTTACTCCTTTCAGCAAACATTTGTTGAGGGTCTATGTATACCAGCCACTGTTCGTAGCAAGAAATAACAATACAAATCTTTATTCTAGGAAGGAAGTGATAGGGATGAAGGAATCACTTAAAAAGTATGAGTACTGGCTAGGCATGGCAGTGGCAAATGCCTTTAGTTACAGCAATTGGAAGGTCAGAGACGGGTGGATCTTTTTGAGTCCAGCCTGGACTACATGTCAAGTTTCTGATAGCTAGGGCTTCGTGTGTGTGTGTGTGTGTGTGAGAGTGTGTGTGTGTTTGTGTGTCTGTATCTGTGTAAATGCTATGGAGAAAATTAAGGAATGGTGGAACTTGAATTGGGACAGACAGATCTCGCTGGCAGGATGGCCTTTGAGTGGATTTCATGGAAGCAATGAATTGTCCATCTGTCTGGTGATGGTCATAGCAGGCAGGAGGTCTGCGGATCATTCAGGGCCAGTTGAGGAAACTTGAAAGGGTGAGAGGATGGTACCAGGTCCTGTATTGTAACTTACTTGTGTGTTTGCTTGCTAAGTGCTGCAGCTTAGTCTTCTCTTTTCTTTTTTTATAAAAGGGGAAGAGAACCAGATTGTCTGTCAGTTCACTAGCTGCTGTTCTTATGTCAGAGTCCTTCCTGTCTTGCTTGCTCTTAACTTTGGCTGAACTCAGCCTCTTGCCATGTGAAGGAATGACTTTTCATTATTCTGTCTGCCAATGGTTTCACAGGTGCAGGGATCCTTAACTTCCGGAACCCTTTGGTCTCTCAGGCTGACTTCTCACTACATATTGCAATTTTCTTCTTAAAATGTGGTATTGGAATCAAAGGAAATTGACTCACTCTTGATTTGAATTGCAATGGTTAAAGTTGTGACATTATGTTAGTAGTCCTGAAATTACTGTTCTGTGTAAGTTTTAGAGAGCTCAGCTTAGATTGTTGCTATGTCCCAGGTGACTCCACAGTTAATGTTGGGATCATATGATACGTGTCCAAGCCTTTTTTAAAAATTTTATTTGTTTGGTTTTGTGAGATAAAGTTTTATTCTGTGGCTCTCAAACTGGTTTGAATTCACAGTAGTCTTCCTGCTTCAGGCTCCCAGGTGTGGAGATCTATATTTGTTTATTCATTCATTCATTTAGATCTTGTTTCATGTGTATATGATTTTTTTGTTTGTTGTGGGGTTTGTTTGTTTGTTTGTTTGTTTGTTTGTTTGTTTTGGTTCTGTGAGAACAGTGTCTTGTTATATAGTCCTAGCTGTCAAAAAAACTCACTATATAAACCAGGCTGGCTTCAAAGTAGAGAGAGATCTGCTTGCCTCAGCCTCCCAAGTGCTGGGACTAAAGACTTGCTCCACCAAACCTGGCCTTGTGTATGTCTTTAAATATGCAAAGCAATGAGTTTGATCATAGGCATTATATACACACATAATTTTGCTTTGTTTGTTCTTACTTATTTTTGAGACAGGGTCTCATTATGTAGCCCTGGCTATTCTAGAACTCACTATATAGATCAGACGGGCCTTGAACTCACTGAGTTCAACTGCCTCTGCTTTTTGTTTTTAATAGAGAAAAATTGACATTGATTAAATTGGATCCTAACCAAAATACTTGGGGGGGGGCGTCTTTTTCAAATTTGGTGTGGAGTTTTGCTATGTAGCTTGGTCAGAACTCAGAATTCTGCTTCAGCCTCTCAGTCACTAAGACTATAAGCATGTGCCACTCTGTCTAGCATAGGGCAGACACTCTGTTTGTTTGTTTGTTTATTGAGGTGAGGTATTATACTGTAGGTGAAGCTTGTAACCCCCTAGGTAGTCTTGGTTGACATAGAATTTATAGTCATCTTTCTGCCTCAGCTTCCTAGCTATTGGAATGACATGAGAGCATCCTCATATCTGGCAAGAGAGGAAACTTAAAATGTAAGCCACAAACTCCATTTATGCCTTGTTTCTTTTTCTGACAAAATAAGCTTCACTTAAAATGCCTGTCTTCTGTAATCTTAAAACTTGGGAGTTTGAAGCAGGATAACTATGAGTTCAGGGTCTGCCTGGGCTACATAGAGAGACTTTGTCACTAGTTCCTCCTACCCTCTGTAAAAGAAAAAGAAAGATGGCCCAGTAGTTAAGAGTATATGCTGCTCTTTTGGGGGGCCTAGGTTCAATTCCCAGCACCCACATTATGGCTCACAACCTCCTATAACTCCAGTTCTAGGGCACTCTCACTCTCTCTCTCTCTCTCTCTCTCTCTCTCTCTCTCTCTCTCTCTCTCTCTCTCCCCACACACACACACACACACACACACACACACACACACACACACACACACACACGAAAATAGTTTTCTTTAAAAAAGAAAGACCAGTAAGCTGGGGGGTATTGAACACCTGCAGTCCCAGTACTTAAGAGATGAAGGAAGAGGACTAGAAATTCAGGGTCTTTGTCAGCAGCTACATAGTAAGTTAGGCCATCCTGGGCTGTGTGAGACCCTGTTTCAAACACAGCCTTTCTATGAGGCGCCATCACCATTGGGCAATCACTGTTGTCGCTGCTCCTGCTATTATCAAAGATGAGGAGCCTGCTTAATGTCATTACCCCAGCCTGTACCAGAACAAGGAATAAAATGGGACTGCTGAATTTCATCTTGCCATAGTGCTGGAGGATAAGCATCTGAGGGTATTTTGAGGAAATCAAGCCTGGTAGATAGAATTGTACACACACATAATTCCATCACTCAAAGGCTGGGGCAGGAAGACTGCCACAGGTCTAAAGCCTGTTAGGCTAACAATGACC